TAAGGCTTTCAAATAAGTCATGGCTGTACGGCAGTGAGGCATTGGTGTTGAGCACTGATGTCATGCTGTCGTTGATGATGATGACTTACCCAATGTCTGTAAGGAAACGTCGTGGGAGCATTTAGACTCCCGAGGTTTCAGAAACGGACATAAATTTCAAGCGACATATCAGTAACAGAGTTGAAGAGAAAACTGGAAAGAGGACAGCCTTGTCGTACACCACTGGACGTGGTGAACTTAGGCGAGAGCTTCCCGTATACTCGTACGCGCCCGCAGGCGTTCGTGTACAGTGCCTAAATAAGGGATAGAAATGTGGAAGGGACACCTTTGATCGACACACTGCCAAAGTTGCTGACGATCGACGGAAACAAAAGCAGTTTCCAAATCCAGAAAATCAACCAACGTCGGACGTCTCAATGAGTGGCGCTGTTCAAGAACTTGTTTCAATGTAAAGATATGATCGATACATCATCGACCAGGGTGTAACTCAGCTTGATTCTCACGAATCTGCCTCTCTCGATAATCCATCAACCTGTTCATAATAAAGCCAGGGAGCACCTCAGATGCGACGGATACCAGGTTTATACCAAGATCGTTTTCACGTGACGTTCTTGCTCGCTTTTTGAAAACTAACATGACGGTCGAGGAACTCCACTCGACTGGTATTCTGTTTTCGTTCCAAATTTTCTGCGGTATGGTTGCCAGACTGTTCACCAGAACCTGGCCACCTTTGAAGAGCGCGGGGTATAGACCATCTGAGCTAAGTGCCTTGTCGCGCTTCAGGATTGTGATCTCACGCTGGATTGCGGTTGCTTATGGTTAGTTGGTGTCAGTGTTCCATTCGGGACCGCTCGGTTCTTCTAGCGGTTGTGTTGAAGGAAACCAGGTGAACTGTTCTTTGAAGTGCCCAGCCAACCGTTCAAGGTGGCGATTGAGGGAGTGAATTGCCGTTCCGTCTTCTTCGCATATTGTCTCACTGACACCTCTCTTTGACCCCTTTATTGAATCAGTTGAAATAGGGCGCTGCTGTTGCATGCACCGAAAGCCTTTTCCATCTCCTGGGCCTTCGAAATCCACCAGCGTTCTCTCATTCTTCAAGCTCCTGACTATTTCGTGTTTGAGGGATCTGCGTGTGCCAACATAGTCGCTAGTTGCTGGTATGGCCTTTCTGGCAGCAATGAGATCTGCTGATCTCGAATATATCCAGTGTTCATTGAGTGGAGTCAAATGGACTGGACAAACAGTTCTGAAACCTTTTTTAACTCACCTCCATTCATTCTTCATTCTCCAATCTCCTCCAAGACACACATTCAGGCAATCTCGATAGAAACTGACAACGACGCCATTGACGTCGATTAGCAGCTTCTTCAGTCAGGAGCACTGGGGTTCACGTGGTCCCCACCCCCGAAGGCGAGTAGAACCAATAGCACCCGAACGCTTCGTAATCTCTTTTATACCCCCAGCCAGGTTGAGAGTTGGCTACTTCTTTGCTTTCGCCACTCTGAATTGGGCACGGAAAATAGCACTCTTCGGCAAACGATAGTTAGGCATACGCAACACGTCCCAACCAACGCAGTTTCTGGTGTTGGACGCATTTTTCGATGGAAGTCCTCGTTACGCAACCGAAAACTCGCTTTCTACTTGCCTCGTTACGGGTTCACCGACACCAACCCACACGAGTTATGGTTCTGAGATCATGATTGTCAAATACCTGACGACGTCTCTGTTTTGCTGCTCGAACAGGCCAATTCCCGCAGTCATACAGCAAAACAGCCCGCACTGTAGCTTGATACACACTTCCCTTGAGATTCAGGGATACACCACTTTGGCGCATTAGGTGTTTCAAACTAGCAAACGTGACCTGAGCTTTGCAAATTCGTGCATTGATGTCATTTGCCACACTACAATTAGAACCAATACAACTTCCAATATACATGAAATACTCTACAGCTTCGAATGTCTCCCTGGGTCGTAAGTAGCGTGTTTAGTGACTGCATGTCCACGTGCATGACCTTACACTATTTTGGTGCAAAATGCATGCCAAAGGATGAGATGAATCTAGTCATTTCATCCAAAAACACCTGTGCCTTCTTCCCTACGAGACCCTCCGGCGTTTGTTTCATGATTTCATCAATCACGAAATTAAATAGGAATGGAGAGAGTAGGTACCCCTGACGGGCATGTCTTCGTGTGCGGAAGCTTTTGGAGAGCTCTTCGCATACGTTCACGCACCCGGAAGTCTGAGAATACATAGCACATATTATGCTCACAAACGTCGGAGGCATTCATTGATAAGACAGTGTGTTAAGGGGAGCAGGCCGATCAGTCGCGTCGAATTCGCCCTGAAAAATCAGGAATACCAAAATTTCTGGCCGTTATTACGTATGGCGTTGTTCTAGCACCAGACAGGGTGTAAATGCAACCCCTACCAGGCCGGAATCCCGCTGGCTGATCTGTAGTCTGTGTTTCATAAGCAAAATGACTCAGTGGTTAGAGTGCGAATTTACTGACCGGAAGGTCTGTGGTTCGAACTCGACCTCTGTCTCTCGACTTCCCCTGTCTAGGTTTTTGGAAACCCGGCAATATCCCAGCCCTCGTGCTTCCCTCGGGTGGCACCAAAAGGGTGCTACAGCTGAACGATTTCTTTCACAAGCCACCATAAGGTGACGAAGCACAAGTGACCGGAACCCAGCCGATCTCCATGTGGTTACCATATTCACCGCGAGTCCCTTTTTTGAAAATGGGCACCATCACCGATTCTCCCAGTCGTTTGGCACAGTCTCCTTTTTCCAAATGCAGGCAAACAGATCAGACAAGCACTGATTGAGGACTTCACCCCTATCTTTGAATAATGCGGGTGGGAGATTATCCGGACCAGGTGGCGCTCGAGAGAACATATGCAGACACAAACCTCAGAGGCTGTAGATGGTTTCACGTCCATCACCTAGGGTTCTGCGTAAACTGTGGGCTCCAGATGGGTACCAGCTGGTGGTCATGACAATTGTTGTTCGAAGTATTCGGCCCACCGGTCGAGGCATCTTCTTTATTCAAGATAGTCACTCCATTCCGATCCTCGATGGTTTCGCTCACACGTGGTTTCCGGGGACCGGTCGGATGGATCAACTGAAATAACCTTCTGGTAGTATAAGCTTTCTGTGCCTGTTCCATTTAGTAAGCACTGCATAAAAACAGTCTGCTGTCAGCACGCAGCCGAACCAATCGTTCACCATTGTCCGTGCGTACTGAGTCCAATCCATGTCGACCTCATAACTGAGTTTCAGATGCGCCAAAGCTGCCAATATGTGCATTCAGATATCCTGGAACCACAAACATATCTAAGACCTAATGTCGTCGCACCAGGGCATTCAGGTTGTCTTAAATCTTGTCTTTGATAGCGTCAGAGTTGCAGTCAGTCAGGGCGTGATCAGACACGACAAACATAGATCAACTTTCCGCTTGTGAGACTCCTTCACAGACTTTACTTACCGAACCGCACGGACGTGACTATCAACGGGTATCTAGTCAATCAAGGATCTTTCCACCCGGTGTCTTAGGACGATACTTACCCCTGCACATCCTGCCGCAGCAGCCTCTGGATCACCAGAGGGTCTTTGATAGCGTCAGAGTTGCAGTCAGTCAGGGCGTGATCAGACACGACAAACATAGATCAACTTTCCGCTTGTGAGACTCCTTCACAGACTTTACCGGACGAACCGCACGGACGTGACTATCAACGGGTATCTAGTCAATCAAGGATCTTTCCACCCGGTGTCTTAGGACGATACTTACCCCTGCACATCCTGCCGCAGCAGCCTCTGGATCACCAGAGGTACGTAGCCGAAAGCGAGTGGAGAGTGATGGAATGGTTAGCCCAACTACTGTGCTTGCATCTTGAATTCTCGTTTCTGAGACACAGCACACACCAATGCCAAGTGAATCCAGTCTGAGGGCAAAAGCAGTCTGTTGTCCTGCTGTCTTCGGGGTTCGGACGTTGAAGGCAGCCGGAGGGACTGTACATCGATGGTTGAAGATTGATTCCGAGACGCCTGAGAAGGTCGGCGCCGGCTGACGAGTAGATGTTGCTTGCGAAATCGATGCAAGAGGGAAGGAGTCATTAATCCTAGGTGCTGGGTCTACAGGAGGGCTATTAATGGGGTGGGAAGAGGGAGAAGGAAAAGTTTTCTCGCTTACCCGCTCTGTTGTATGCAGCAAGTGAGGTAACAGGGTGATTCTGCTGCAACCAACAAGACAATTATCTGGCATGCCGTAAATTAACTATCACTCATAACCAGATTATATCCACTTACTAAACCCTCTGACCCGTTGTCCATCATTTCTTTGTGCACGAAGCACGGTGTCTAGGCGCTCGTATGCAGCCTGTGGGAGAGCATTTCACTGTCATTTGAAATTGTCTTCAAAGTAGCACACTGTTTTCGAAGAAACTGATTGGCGCACACCTTGAACCAGTGCACCAACATTGCGAGACTGTCCAAGATAGTGGCCGAGAGTAACTCATGCTTCAGCCATTACTTGAAAAATGTGGTTTACTTTTGGGCATCACTGGAGTTCTCTCGCCATTCGCAGTGAGCATTGTCGGATCTTGTGTATATCGTGATTTTATTCTGTGGCTGGTATTTTTCTATCCCTGAAAATCAGATCACCAACTTTCTCTACTTTTCAGGTACTCATGGTGCTCATTATTCCCCATCAGACTAGTTCCCTTCACCTACCCTGACATCCAGCTTCACCTCCCAACCATGATATGGCCGTCAATCCGTGGATCAACACTCTTCGCTTAGCTTTGTGACTGATGTAACACACATGCCTCGTCAGGAAGTGTTGAGTCAGTGCAGTAGCAACACCTGTCCGCGCAAGTCCTCAATACATCATCCGTTTGACTTCCCTTGTGATCACCACCCGTACGCACCGGCTGCCGTCTTTGGGTTTCCTGCACCTAGATGGATTCTTCCGAAGCAGAATTGTTTGAATCCGGAACACATTCCCTACTGTACTTGGACTTCTCTGCTTCCCACGAATTTTGTGGGGAATGAAGCTGTTGCTATGTGTCCATCAATTCAGCTATCTGTGGATCCGGATGTTGATGCTGGTGATCGTCGTGAACAGCATACCAGTCTGCCACCATCGACGCCCAAATCGGAGGCCAATGATCCCCCTTCTTGCAGTGTGCTGACGAAGAGTACTGGCGGACACACTGAACCTAAGCCAGATCGAGCCAAGCGGCACCCTTGTGACCATTGCTCAAAAGGTTTCAATCGAGCCAGCGATCTTGTGAAGCACCGCCGTACTCATACGGGCGAAAAACCTTTTGTTTGTCATCACTGCGGACGAGCATTTTCCGACTCAAGTAGTCTTTCTGCGCACCGGCGCATTCACACTGGAGAACGACCGTATACTTGCTCGGATTGCGGCAAGAGCTTCTCTGTCTCGAGTAGTCTGGTCAAGCACAAACGAATTCATACTGGTGAAAAGCCATATCAGTGTGATTTGTGCGGTCGCCTATTTTCCGATAACAGTAGCTTTGGGGCTCATAAGAAACGAAGTCAACGTTGTGTCCCCGAAATCACCTCGGCATCCTCAACGCCAACTTACCCGTTAAATACCTCGCCTACCGGAAGTGTTACGTTTCCCTCCCTGAACAAACAATGCCAAACCACTTCCACATGTATAGTGTCCACTGCTTCCTCGACGTAACTGATTGGTTATATAGTTGCACGTCCATTCGGAATACGATGCTGCACTTCCTGTATGTATTTTAGTGCAAAACAGCTGATTGATAACTTCCATCTTGTTAACAGTACTTCCTCTGTACAAAATCCCTTTCTATCTAACGCTAACTTATATTCCATAACTGAATAACACGCCTTGACAACAAAAGTGAACAGTTCCATATGACTGAGCGTAACAACGTGTTTCCTAAATTCACATCTGGGTGAACTTCATCCATCTAATCGCTCTAGGGTCAATCTGCATTAGAAATTGACTAAGGAATTCCCGTCTGGATAGAATCCCACCTGATCAGGGATACTGTAATTTATAGCCAGTTTTATGAAACAATCTCTCGCGTGCGAAACTTTTGTCTATTTGTATACATACAGCCAGTTACCAGAGCAGAACGTGCTGTTCCTGGTGAGGGTTTTAACACACAGTCCGTATGTGTGCGTATCTGAGCAAAGGTAGCGAATGACTGGTGTCTTTGTGTTCGCTGTTATCAAAAGTTGCTGCGTGGCTCATAGCTGATACACTGTTACCTTCAGTGGACAAGTAATCAGTTAGATAATCGTTCAACTGTAACACCCAAAGGTACCACGAGGGCTGAGATAGTGATAGGTTACCCAAGCCTAGACAGGAGCAGTCGAGATGCGGGTTTAGCTTCGAACCGCGGACCTGCCGGTGAGTTAGTTGGTGCTGAGTCTTCTCAAGTAATAAATTCACGCCTTGTGATTATGTGACTAGAGTGCTGCTGAGATTCTACCTGTCCATTTGTGCAACTGCGCCCAATTTCTAGAGATGTCTCTTACAGACATTTGTTCTTGGTCTTTGACGGATATCCAGCATCTGCTTTTGATTACGTGGTATCAAATCCTCAGTCGAAAATGTCTATGGACAGGTCACTTGTCTGAAGAGTATTTGTTTTCTGATATATCAACCACGGTAAGACCCAATAACATGGAAGACGAAGTCGAATACTACCACCCGCCTTGAAGGTCTCGTGTCGGTAGGCGACGGAGTTGTGTTTCTCCGGCAAACGGCCCGAAACTGCTAGTGAAAGGGTTATCTCTGACATCCGAAATCCTGATAAGCCATAGCAAAGAGGGAAAATCTCGTGTGGCCGGGCTTAAGCAGATCCGTGTTTTAGAAACGGGTTCAAACGACTGAGTTTACTGCGTCAACTAGGGCAGCTCACAGCTTGCGGGTCCCTCGATCAGTCTTCGGTGTATGTAAGCGGAAGCAGACGGATACCGATACTACCCACTCACTCGTCCATTATGGCATGGTGGCATTATGCAGTAGTTTAACGGAGGGGGATGCGAGTAGCTAAACCGCACTGACTGCTGTTTCTCTGGTCTACTTGACATCCCGTGGAACCTATTAAACACATCATGTTTACGCGGACCAGAGGAATTTGGTGGGATGGATAATTGCCGCTTGTTCAATACACATCGGACACTGAGGGTCGGGATGGTCGCGCGTTTTCCAAGGGGCTTTCTGAGCCACCTTATTTTGCAAGATTCCGTTGCATTCTGGGGAGCACTTTCTGTGGGAATCTATGGCAGAGTTTGGATTTCGTCGCAATTTTCTTATAAGGTGTCATTTTATATATAGGAATAATACTAGTGTAACAGTGATACTACTGATGAAGAGGCGCGCGAGCAGTATGCGGTGTTCGTAGAATTTTGCTTTGCGTCTTTTGAAACGGGAGATCTTTTGCGGAATTCGTGGAGCCACTTTGTAACATTTGCTTGGATTTGACCGACGAATGAGTGGAGTCAATGAATCTCCCTGTTCAATTGTCTCTAACCAGTCAGTTGGCATTTCCTAATAAATAACTCCGCAGCGAAGGCCTTCTTCCTTTCACCAGTAGACTGCTTTCTCTGTTCTCCTAACGCTGTGCGTGGGTTTCAAAAGCAGTCAGCCTTGCGTGGCCCACCCGCCTGTGACAGGTTAGTTCTCTTAAACTATGAGCTACTTACGAGTAGTTGGAGATTATAATGCTTTCATTTAGCTGGAGCCAGTCGACCTAAAAGCGCCTTTGGGTTTGCCGGTAGATGTACGCAGTTCGAACTACTTCTCGTATGAAAATAGCAACAACATGGAAGCTGCGCGTCGTCTCGCTGAGTGGGTGGGCTTTGCACAAACAGACCTGATGACGGGGGCTGTAGCCCGAAATTACCCTATTCATCCCAGTTTCTCCATTGTTCCTTGGGGATGGAAGCTATGTATCAAAAAAGTACGGCGGCTGGAGACTTTTTTTCGCCAGATTGATTCTCATATTGGCTCTCATGGTTCAATCATTTTCTTCCTGACTTTGAGTAGATAAAGTTCGCAGATCACGTGGCCGGTTTTCTAACGACTGCTGTATCGTTCACCGTGGAAGTTACTCCAATAAATCAAAAGTGATGAGGTATGAATGATTGGCATCCTTGACTGGATAATCTTGCTTTCTCTGGATGTTCAATATCTAGCATAGGAGTTGCGAACCATAAGAGTTTCGGAGGGATCTACCTTCGGGAGCTGAGCATCAGTTATAGTTAAGACTGACAGCTATGGAACTGCGTCAGTAGATGTAACTCAACATAATCGAGAAAACTTATTCGCACTCTGTCGGAAGTTTGCTTGAGGTAACTTTGATGGTCATATAAAACTCCGTTACTCTTGGTTGATCAGATGGTAGTTAATCTGTTCTCCGAGTTTAGCAATTGGTTTGCAAACGTTTGGTCCCCAGTCGGGGAGATATTGTCAGTGCGCAGTTGAGCGGGTGCTTCCTCCAAGCCTAATCAAGCTAGCTGGATACCCACTACCCCGAAGTTTGTTCCTTACCTCAATTTGGGCCGCTGCTCGATCAGCTTCTTCTGTGCACAGGGCCCTTACACGCCTAAGCATTGATAGCGCAATACTGGCGAATACCGACTTCGGATGGGCAGACGAGTAGTTCAAAACTGCCTCAGTGTTGGTTGGCTTTTCATACACTGTGGTCTTTAGCCTCCCCCAACTTTGTGTCATGCAGTCTAAGAAGGCCAGTTTACCCGATGTTGACTCTATCTCCATACTAAATTTGATCTGTGGACTCAGTTCATTCAGATAATTGTAAAACTCATTAACCTTGTCCCGTTTCATGACAACGAAAGTGTCCAAATCGAAGTAATGTACAAACCTCGGGGTAGTGGATATCCAGCTAGCTTGATTAGGCGTCAATTGCGAAGGGTGTTGATACCGGTAGAGGAACCCAACAGGGAATAAATCGGGACAGCTGTTATTCCATATAAACCAGGGATATCGGAGGCAATTCGAAGAATTCTAAACATGGCCAACATTAGAGTAGCTTTCCAGAGGGGGAACACTCTGCGCTCTGCATTGGTGCAATTGAAGGATCGCCTCCCGGCAAACAGAACCAGGGACTGTGTCTACAAAATCAAGTGTAATGACTGCATCAAAGTCTATATAGGACAGACGGCCAGGGAACTATACATCAGAGTCGGAGAGCATAGTAGAAAAATAAACAGGCCGCCGAGAAACGCAGATGAATATCAAGCGTTACTGAAAGACTCGGCGATTGCGGAACACGCACTAGACACAGGACACAAAATAGATTTAGAAAATGTTGAGGTTTTGAGGCGAGGACCACGGTCCACATCACACAGACTGATCGCCGAGGCGGTAGAAATCGCCAAGCATCCCAGCGTCAACAGAATGGAAGGCGTGGAACTGGCTAGCGTGTGGAGAACGGTCATGGGTCACTCGAGCTGACACGTGCTGGTGTGCGGTTATCATCCGAAATCCACTTGACCTCAACCCCCCTCAAACTAAATTGTCGGAACACTCACAACCCCACAAATCTAACAGCGTCACCCGAGGCGAATCAAGTGAAGCACCCTGAAGCGGAAGATTAAGGAACGAAAAGCGATCGGAACTAAGTTGGAACCCTCCAACCCATCGATTCAAGATTTTGGCACCCACACTAGCCGACAAGAGTCGTTAATTGACACTCAACACTGATTTAGTCTGAGGAGAACTTACTGATTGGTTCCCCGTCTGTCTTATAACCTGGTCAACTTTGTGACCTGTTCACTTGGCCTGATGAAGCTTTTGTGTCAAAAGCGAAACGTTGCCCAAATAAAAACTACCGATTGTTTACCAAGCTTTTCTGAAAAGAGTAAGCATCACCTTGGTCAAAGGTATGAACGAGTGGAAGGCCAAGTGCAGTTACTCTGTGCTTAGAGAGGGCGATCAGCAATAAAATGTTAACACTGAACAACAATGGCTAAACAATTTCGGGCAACCGATGAAACCGATGCAACATTTTTGTGAGTCTTGTCCACCACGGCGTATAACGGTGTACAAAATTATCTTCAACAGTCTACTTTGAGGTTGACAGATTGCTGTTACCCGCCGTGTCCTGTATTGCTTCTAAGTGGGTTCAAGGAAAGTCGGGTATGAGGGTCCTGTGGCACGCGATTCGATCACATCCACTTTGCGTCACCGTGTCCTTGACCCGACACTTTCCATCGGCAGGGGTTTATAATTGAAAACGATAGTTGTACGCATTCAAACTTCACTAAGTGGCTCTAGCTTATCTGATTGGCTACCGAGTCCTCCCACAACGCACCATTAAGTTGCATACACGCTGCGGCCGACCCGTTCCCCCCAAAGATTCGAGGCTTTCAGATCGGAGGAGCCATAGGCTAAAATTATCATTACGGTGGCCTTACTGGCCTCTACTAGCTTCAGCGATATTAGTTTTCGATGACGTAAATGACGCGGTTCTGTAAATATTACTCGACTTCATCTGTCACAATACGATCGCAGTTTATGCAGCGATCAGTGAAATCAATTTCTTCTTCACTTCCAAGTACGCACTGGACTCGATCGAAAATTCGGAACCAAGACTTCTTTCTGAAGGTGGCAAATGCCCACAAAACGGGACCGTTTCGGGTATTCTATCGAAAGTACCTATGATATCGAAGAAACGG